TCTCTTTTTTACTTCGACTGTTTGTGATTCGACGTTACCTCCTAAAAGACGAGCCCGACTCCGAGTGTTCGGACGAACGCTATTCAAATTGGCCACGGACTGTCAATAGAAAAATAGTTAATAACATACTTTGAACAGACGAACACATTGGTATTACCTTTGCTTCAATTGTTTTTTTATTTTCGTCAACTTTAAATGCTAAGTTGGTGTCATTCTTGGTTTTTTTCTTTGTACTTTTTACAACAGCTGTTTGTGGTTTGATTTTACTTGCCAATGGAACAGCTCGTGTCTGAGCGATCCGTACGTTTGGAACAATGCTATTCGATTTGGCCAAGGACTGTCAATAGAAAAATAGTTAATAACATACTTTGACCGACAAACATATTGGTATTACCTTCTGAATTTTCTCTATTGCAGCTGGAGTTAGTCTGTCTAACTTAACAAAAACTGAATTCATCTTAAATATTATTTATTCTTATAAAAAAATGGAAAATGATTCTCAAAGCTCAAACTTGTTAAATCAATGTTGTAAGGTTATGTTACAAACATTAAATCACAAAGTCATTTTGACATGCGAACGAATGTAGTCCTCCTGTCAAGTGGTGAAAAGCCTTTTGGAAATCGTAGGCCTTTTCACATTCGTTCATATTACGTGACATATTCGTAACCAAACGATAAAATATTCTAGAAAAACTATAAGACGAAGAAAATCAATTATTATTCGTATAAAATGTTCACGAGAAACGGTAAAAGAGTGTTGGACGATTATTTTAAAGACAGTGATTCGCATAGTAATGAATCATCAGAGGATGCACAGCCCCCGCCAGCTAAAAAAACAAAAAAGTATCCAAAAATTTTCGACGGAAAATATTTTTCGATTCGAAGCGATGTAAATGGCAATATCGAGGCAATATGTAGTGTTTGTGAAGAAATAAAAAAAGGAAATTTTCTAAGTACAGGAAATTTTCTGAGCCATTATAAATTGAGACATAATAACAAATTGGAAGATCTTAAATTATATACGAGAGAAAGTAAACCTAAACCTCTAACTCAGCAAACATTGATCGATATGACAACTGCAATTGGCGCCAGTCCAGACAACGTATGTACAGATTTTGATTTCATGTTTTGAAATATTCACTGATAAAAAATTTCAACATTGAATGATTGTTACTAACTCTGTTTGAATCAATATCGATATTATCTGTAGATTGCAACAAAAGCCGTGAACTTCGTCATTGATGGAAACCTATCGTTCAATGTGATTCAGCTTAAATCATTCCAAGAGCTACTAGAGACTGTTAGCGGACGAAAAATTGTGATACCAACCCGCCGAATATTTATGAAAACGCTTGATTCGGAATATGCCAAAACGAAAGAAGCATTATGCAGAACGTTGAGTCAACAAGAAGATCTTTGCGTCACTGCAGACGTTTGGAGCTCGCGTGCTCAATCGTACTTGGGTGTTACAGTCCACTTCATCAACAAGGAATTCGTGCGTGAATCCTATGTTTTGGCATTCAAGCAACTTGAGAGCAAACAGACATATCAAGTGTTGGCAAAAGCTCTTGACAGCATTTTCAATGAATATCATATAAAAAAGAGCCAAATAACAAACATCGTGACAGACGGCGGGTCAAATTTCTGTAAAATGTTCAAAATATATGGAAAGTCCATTGACGCTGTTGTTACTATTGAAGGTGAGGAAGTTGTTGACGATACAGAAGAGGCCGAATCTGATGTTGTTGAAGGCACCGATGAAAATTTAGCAGCATCATTCATGACAGATATTCATGGCGAACCATTTCTGAATGAAATATTGTCATTTGATAACAACGATGGGAGTGGTACTACCGTTGAACCCTTAAACGCACAAGATGATTCATTTGAAGCTACTAGCGAATTTGATTCTTACTTCGGCCCACCCAATAACACCGAAAACAATGTCAATGTCAATGTCAACATCGAAATGCCGCCGCAACGAAGATGCATCTCCCACTTACTAAATCGCATATCACACGATTTTGAAAACAAATTTTTGGCCAAAGTGCCCAAAACTGGTCTTTTTCAAACGCTAAATAAATTGCACACGTTATGGGTATTAATCCACCGCAGTTCAACTGCGAAGTCAACCTGCAAACAAATTTTGGGCAAGGTTCTGAAAATACATTGCGAGACAAGATGGAATTCACGTTTTGATGCCGTAAAAATGTGTGCTGATCCAGAAATTAGAGTAAATTTGAATAAACTAATTCAGCAGCTCAAAACCGACCTCAATTCCGTATCAGCACAAAATCTGAAAACATTGACCACACGTGATTTCTCAATTATAGATGACTATGTCACAGTTTTTGAGCCGGTAGCGATCGCACTAGATCGAATGCAAAGCGAGTTCAACGGAAGCCAAGGATACATCGTTCCTGTTTTGTTATCCATGAAAGATCGAGTAACAAAAATCCAAGAAAACGGACCTTTAATCAAAGACTTCAAAACCGCCATGCTGAGCGCCATAAATTATCGCTTCAATAATTACTTTTTGTTCGAAGACTCGAATAAAGATTTGCTACTAGCTGCGATTACACTGCCGCGTATCAAAACAAGATTTATCGAGTATGATGATGATATAATTTATACAAAGAACCTGCTAATAGCTGAGTGTAAAAAAATAAAAAACGACTCATTGGGAAATGCAATCTCCAACCAACCAGAGCACATTCCCGATGATGACTTCATTATTTCGTATTCTCGTGATATTCGTAGAAATTCGATCGACAATGAAATTGAATCTGAAGTTTCCCGATTTCTTTGTGATGTGCGCACTGACATACAAATTCTGAATGAATATCCGAATATAAGAGCATGTTTTTTTAAATTTAACACAACGATCTCATCGTCTGCTCCAGTGGAGCGAGTGTTTAGTCAGAGCATGATGATTTTTACCCCTAGACGGAATAGACTTTCAGCAATTCGTTTTGAACAAGCGCTCCTAATGAAACACAACAGAAAATTATTGACACAATCGAAAAGAATTTAGTTTTAAAGTTTGAAACCCATTGGCTATTTATGTTGTTTTAGTTGGTTTTCTGAACAAAAATAAAGATGCAATTTACTCAGCAGAAAAAAATATCTCTTATTCGAAAATTAAGAAAAAAAATCTATCTATATTTAGAAAAACTAAGTATACCGAATATTATCTTTTTAAAGAATGGATCAGTGAAGCTATTAGCATTTATTATTTTGAATATGAGTCTATCTCATACATGCGACGATTGACATACACTTCATAGAATTTTTTTTCATCGAAATGTTCTGTTTCTTATCTAAAGGTTATCTTTATATTGAAATAAGATGATCGAAAAAAAATTGAATTTAGATAAAGATAATAGATAAGTCAGATTTCAAAATTAGTATTAAGATAAAGATAAAGATAATATCTTATCTCATCTATCTTAATCTTATCTATCTATTTTTTATCTTTGTACAACACTGGTGCAGTGTGCGCTTGTGTTTTTGTTTTTCAATTCGATGATTTTTTACAACCCTTTCGATTTCAGCAAAATGTGAATCAAAGAGAATCCTTATTTTAAGCCCTGCAATGGACACCGGTTTTCATACTCAATTCATCAGGAGGCTTAAAATAAGGATCGTTTGGATCATTATAAATTTGGTGAATGCAAACAGAACCATACCATTCAACATGCATCCAGTCTGCTATGGACAAAAACAAGAGCGATACAAACGACTTCTAGCCGAACGAGACGATCTGCAAATAACATATCAGCGACCGGGCCAGCTTTCTTGGCCATTACACCACAGTTCACTATACAGTCTACACGGGGAGGGCAATCATGGCAAAAGATTGGACGTATATCAACGAAACATCCTCACTCGCCTGTACCCCGGAGCACAGTATCAATTCATCGAACCGGCAACGTTGCAACCAGATGGAGGTTCCTGTGGCATTTTCTCGATTGCATATGCCACAACCGTCATTTTGGGACACAACCCTGCAACATACCATCTAAAAATCAATCAGCATGAAACAGACAATTTAAAAAAGACTAGCGAACTATGAAACCACATCAAAAGAATATACGAAACAAACTACAGCTGTTTCCACAATAAATAATACACACATTTTTGTTTTTGTTAAAGTGTTTGGA